TTTTCATCACTTCTATGGATGTGCAAACCAAGTCATTATTTTTTTATCCGCTACAGACTGTGGAAGATCGTATTTATTTGTGAAAAAATTAAATATTTAGGTCTTGGATTTTTACTACATTTATTATTTGCAATGTCATATCAGTAATGCTGCATTTATTTCAAACTTCAGTAGTTTTGTCTCAGCAGGAACAAACATGAAATATATTTAAATGAGATTTGAGACACATTATACAAATTCACACAACAGATCTATTTATACTTTTGTAATTGAGGGAAAAAATCCAAATTATCATGCACTGCTGGTGACAGTACCACCCAATATTTATTTTTTCATTATAATAGAGCAATTTAGAGCAGCAGCACATATTCAATGATTAATGAGAATATTAGATGTTTCTTTATAAGGAAACATTCATTGACAGACCAGCTTGTCCTACTTTCAATTAAAATTTATAAAATATTTTGCTTTGAAAAACAGGTTTCTCAAGTCCAATAGCTGTTATCGCTCTTTCCAGTATAGATGGAGGCTACCTTCCTAACCTTATCAGGAAAAAAGTGTTTCTCAAGTCCAGTAGCTGTTATATTTTTTTCCAGTATAGATGGAGACTACCTTCCTAACCTTATAAGGAAAATAGGTTTCTCAAGTCCAGTAGCTGTTATCACTCTTTCCAGTATAGATGGAGAAAATACCTTTCCTAATTTTTTCAGGAAAATAGGTTTCTCATGTCCAGTAGCTGTTAAATTTTCCTGCTACCTTTAACCTTTTCCAGTATAAGCTGTTGGTATAGATGAAGTCTACCTTTTAACCTTTTCAGGAAAATAGGTTTCTCAAGTCCAGTAGCTGTTATCACTCTTTTCCAGTATAGATGAAGTCTACCTTCCTAACCTTTTTCAGGAAAATAGGTTTCTCAAGTCCAGTAGCTGTTATCACTTTTTCCAGTATAGAATAAAGGCTACCTTATTCCTAAAATTTTTCCAGTACTGTTATCACTCTTTCCAGTATAGAAAGGCTAATGTGGCGCCAGAAAAAAAAGGTTTTTCATTTTCATTAGCTGTTATCTTTTTCCAGTATAGATGGATTACCTTCCTAACCTTTTCAGAAAAATAGGTTTCTCATGCCCAGTAAAAAAATAAAAAATTTTCAGTATAAATGGAGGCTACCTTCCTAACCTTTTCAGGAAAATAGGTTTCTCAAGTCCAGTAGCTGTTATATTATCTTTCCAGTATAGATGAGGCTACCTTCCTAACCTTTTCAGGAAAATAGGTTTTCATGTCCAGTAGCTGTTATCACTTTTCCAGTATAGATGGAGATCTACGTTCCTAACCTTTTCAGGAAAAAGGTTTCTCAAGTCCAGTAGCTTTTTATCGCTCTTATATAGATGAATCTACCTTCCTAACCTTTTCAGGAAAATAGGTTTCTATGTCCAGTAGTACTGTTATATAACTCTTTCCAGTATAGATGGAATATCTATTTTCAAAAAATGTTTTTCAAAGTCCAGTAGCTGTTATCGCTCATTTTCCAGTATAGATGGAGGCAATACCTTCTTTAATTGGAAAATTTTGTATTTAAAGTAATAGGTTTTTCCAGTATAGATCCATAGGAATATTTTTAAAAACATTTTTCTAAAAAATAGCTTTATCACTTTAGATAGATGGAGGCTACCTTCCTAAAATTTTTTAAAAATAATTTTTCATGAAGTAGCTGTTTCTCAAGTCCAGTATAGATGGAGACTAGAAACCTTATAGGAAAAAGTGACTTTTTCCAGTAGCTGTTAGATCTTTCCAGTATAGATGAAGTCTACCTTCCTTTAATTTTTCAGGAAAATAGGTTTTCATGTCCAGTATTTGTTATCAAATTTCTTTCTTTTCCAGTATAGATGGAGGCTACCTTCCTAACCTTTTCAGGAAAATAGGTTTCTCAAGTCCAGCTGTTATGTCTGTTATAGAAATTTTTCCCTAACCTTTTAGAAATAAAGGTTTCATGTCCTAATAAACCTTTCAATATAGAATGGAGGCTAATTCCTAAACCTTTTAAGGAAAATAGGTTTCTCAAGTCCAGTATGTTATATATATATATAGATCCTTATCAGAAAATAGTATTAAAATCCATGTTATTACTTTTATATATAACCTATTCAGGAGAATAGGTTTCTCAAGTCCAGTAGCTGTTATCGCTCTTTCCAGTATAGATGGAGGCTACCTTCTTCACCACTTTAGGAAAATAGGTTTCTCAAGTCCAGTAGATGTTATTTCTCTTTCCAGTACTGATGGAAGTTTCCTTCCTAACTTTTTGTTTGAAGTAGTGTTTAATGTCAACATCTTGATTATGTAATTTTCTCTTTATGTTACATATATCCATTTCAACTTTTGCTGCTGTTCAGAGTTCTTAGATGATGTGGTTTCTGTTATTTGGTACAGTTCTTTGTGATTTTGTAACACCAGTTCACAAGGTTTGAATAAGTGCAGATCCTACTATCTATATAAGTAAATGCAAATGTCAGTGTGTCACACTTTTTCAACTTTATTTCTAGAGGCCGTAGCCCAACATATCATACTATTTTGGAATCAGGCTGACTCTGTGAGCAAATTAAAAACATTCTAGGCTGGAT